TATTTTGGTACGCATGCGCTGATCTTCTGAAGAAACCGACGCTTATTGAACTGGCTTGGTTTACGCCATTGTGACTGTTCAACAGAGAAAAGCGTAACAGAATGCAGATGAGTAAGACAATGACTCTAGCCCCGAGGCTAGATTGAAAATTACGGCTACCCCAAACTTGACTATGGGGAGGTAAAATAAACTGAAGTAAATGGAAGCTCTTTACAGTCAGCTATTTGCTTGTAAAATCCGTAGAAATGTGATAATTCCGTTAGTTTTGGGTGTGCATGTAGTTTAATGATTAGAGGCTAGCAACGAGAAATTGTCGGGTTGAATTCAGATCGAAATCGTCGCATTCCCAGTACAAATATTCTTATGAAATGCATGAATCCGTCTATTTCCCAGAGCTATGGGTTAAATAACAGAACAGACAGGTCTCTCTAGCCGTGGTTGGTAATTATTAAAGGAGAAGAACAGCTCTAAATTTAAAACTGTATGTGGATCTGGTGGGGCATATACTGGAGTATCCCTATCCGCATGAACTGTGCCTCTTACTCTGTAATCTTCTAACTCGAGTGGCTCATGCACCTTGTACAGGTTGAATCACACTGTAAACATATTTTTGAAGGATAATTTCTGTAAACTTATCGTCACGCATTACTAATGGAAAAGTGATAAAATCTCTCATTACTGTTTATTTCATTCTGAACATCACTAAAAATTGTTGGGGAGTGAGTGTGTGAAACGGGGACTCTCTCCAAACGAAAATCCTAGTGTCTTACCTCTGGTGTGGTTGTTTATATATCTGTCTGTCATAAGTTTTTTTCCCTTACGCGTGTATATTCCAGGCATGTGAGATTTTCTTGTTTATATTTATCGTTTAAAATTTATACCGGCCGCTTAGAATGACTGATTGATTTTTTACGGATTATCAACCTATTTTGGTTATTAAAATCCGAAACATATTTTTAGATTGCAAGAATAATTATTCTTTATTTTTATCGCGATTGAATATTGTATTAACAATTTTTTGAAGATGATAATTATTTTTCAGATACATGTTTTACTATTTTACCTACAGCTGGTTGGAAGAGGTGAGTTCATGCCTTTCACAAGTGTGTTTGCCCGTAAGTGAATGTAACGAACTAGACTGGAATTCGAACTCGCGTCTCCGATTTTAATTCCGTGTTGTTATCCATTGCACTATCCGCACATCCACAGGTTACTGGTTTTCCCAAAAGGTCATCCATTTAAGTGCTGTCCATGTTCAACGTTGCTATGATGATGAGACGGGAACCGGATTTCGACTGTGACACGGCCTTAAGTCTCTAACCTCTTGGAAATAAAACACATTGTTTTGAAAATAGAATTTCTTTATCGTTTCTATCTGAGGGTCCAATAGGCCGGACGCCATTGTGTTTTTAATCAGTGAACCTGCACACTAAAATCAGTTCACATCATATTCAGGTGATGGGTGGGGTAAAAGATTTTTAGGAGGGGGTGTAAATATTCCCAGCTCCGTTTAGCCTGGGGTTTATTTATGTATTTGTAAATGAAAAATCAGACCCTTTTTGCCTTCGGTCTGCTACTCTATCACATGATCTGTGCCTGCAAATGGTTTCCACTCATCTGTCCATTATAGCTATTCTCTATCGCCGACCGACACTCTTGACGATCGATATATCGATCAGCTGTTCCATTTTGTGTCCGCCGCTTATGCCATTGTTTGCTAAGACCTATTCTTATGCGGGGCCTGGCACCCAAGCGCAATTGCGCACACATTGCAGTGGACCTTTTCGCAAAACCAATTTCACAATTCGACATTGATTAAGAAACCTCAACCCCACGCCATTTCTTTCCTCTTCCTCCCACACACGCCAAGGCTTAACCCTTACCACTAGCATCACCCTCATCTTTTCTCGGGACCGCTTGCGCCAAAGCTGAACACAGCTCCACATCCGACCGGCCTGCAAAATCAAAGAGTATGTTTAAAGGTTGACAAAACGGGTAAAATTGCCGATGGGTTAGTGTGATCTCTTTGAGTGGCTACCAGAAAAACGGCGCTGCTTCTTTCCCCGGCTCGGTACTTGTTGACATGATTCGTCAACTCATTCGTCACTACCCCGCACAAATAAAGCAAGATTTTAAAAACAGTGATGGGAAACCGGTAGCTTAATTGCTTATATCTATCAAACTTAGCTTTGTCTATAACACTGATACATGTCGAGGGGATTATGTGGCATCAACTCAACAATCGGATACAGTGTGCTGACTTTGTTGATTGTTCAACACGCGCAATTCTTTTTGCTTTTTTTTCCCTGGGGATTGAGGGAAGACCACTTGCACTGAAAAAAAAAAAAAAATAAAAAAAAAGGGGGAAACTCTACTCCTAAGTTCTGAGAAATAGAGGCGTTTTACTTGGAAACTAGAACCCACTGAATATTTTAAAATCATTTCACCCTAAGCAAGGCGATAATGCCACTAAGATGCAAGGGGTTTCTAGGAATGAAAGGGAATGAAAAGACTTTAGTTAAGAGAAAGGACAATAAAAGAACAGGTCTCAGGAATACAGAAGATGTTGATAATGCCACTAAGACGCAAGAGGTTACTGGGAGTGGAAGAGAATGAGAAAAATTTAGTGAGGAGAACGGACAATAAACGAACAGTTTTCAGCAAAACGGAAGATGGCAATAATGCCACTAAGACGCAAGGGCGTCACTGGGAATGAAAGAGAATAAGAAGACTTTAGTGAGGAGAAAGGAAAATAAAAGATCGGGTTTCAGGAAGAGAGAAGATGGTGATAATGCCACTAAGACGCAAGGGGTTACTCGAAATGAAAGAGAATGGGAAGACTTTAGAAAGGACAATAATATTCAAGAACAGGAATGATGATTGAGGTTGAATTTAAATTTTTGAAGATTTTGCGAGTCAGAGAAAGATAAAACCAGAAAAATGATGCGAGAGAAGAAACTATTAGAATAGAACTTACGGTTGCATTTAGCTATTTCAACAATAAAACGATGAGACCTATTAGACAATCTAATAGTACGCTTACATTGATGCGTTCAATGTACCAAGCAGGAGAAGTATACCATAAAGACAGAGGGAAGCCACGTCACAGTGTTGGGCTGAAGTTGAGATGCCAGGTCAGGACCAGTAACATTACAGAACCTTCTTTCTATTTTGTCGAAAATCTCCAGATATATAACCGGTGGACCAGAATAGATATGGAAACCGTATTAAACGGACGGACGAATGGTAGATTTATACATGTGTAAGATGTATTCTGACAAGACGAATTGTCTTGCACGACACAGCGAACCAACTCTTCTCGAAGCAGACCAAGCAAATGATTCAATATAATCACTTCACTTCATGTCTGTGGAAAAGGTTAGACGAAGCTTGTAAATTCTTTAACAGGCTCAGCGCCAAAGTGTTGAAAGTAAAAACGACTTCGCTAGCCAGCAAAGAACAGTAAGAATTTGGATGGCAGCTTTCTCACTGCAGGGAGGAAAGAATGTTGGTATGATTTAGCAGTGATTTCATATTTATAACATAACGTCTATCTTTGTTTAGTGGCATGTTAACACATTGTGGGTCATTTAATGATGAAATTTAATTTTCTTGGAAGCATTAGTAATTTCTTTTACAAAAATGTATTGCTGGAAATATATTTGTTTATTTACAAAAATCTATTGCTGGTAATTTTGTTTTACTATGAAAATATATTATTGGAAATGTATTTGTTTATTTACAAAAATTTATTGCTAGTAATTTTGTTTTACAATGAAAAATGTATTGCTGGTAATATATTTGTTTATTTACAAAAATGTATTACTGGTAATTTTGTTTTACCATGAAAATGTAGTGCTGGTAATATTTTTATTTACAAAAATGTATTGCTGGTAATTTTGTTTTACCATGAAAAATGTATTGCTAGTATTTTTACTATAAAAATGTATTTTTCATACTTTCATAGTCTTTTGACTCCATAGCTGGCACCCTAACATGTTTTACCACCCCAAGTCAGCGTGGACCTGGGAACAACAGCAATTAAGGGGTGGTCCCAGACTCCTCAAAACCTCCCGAACAGAGGCCTTTCTGCCAGATGTAGTTTATCGTCAAACCCAGGATGGAAACTCTTATCAAAATCTCAATCTTTGACGACCAGAAACACGTGCCTACTCTTACTATTTCTATTGCGTATGTATCCAAATTACTATAGTATTCAGCAGCCAAACTATATATATATATATATATATATATATATATATATATATATATATATATTTTCTATGGTATGCTATATGTATGTATATATATATATATATATATATATATATATATATATATATGTGTGTGTGTGTGTGTGTGTGTGTACGTATGTATATATGAGGGAGTGCTGATCGGTCTCAATCTCGCCCCGATGCTCTATGTGGGTGGGGGTGATAATGTGGGTTTGGTTAATTTAATGAGATAACTCTTTAAATTTTAATTACTACCTTAATTTTTAGATAATTTTAATTTTACTTTTAACTTTATCTCCGAACATAATTTTTTCTTTGTTATTCTATCTTTCATTTCTATTCATTGATTTTTTTCATTTTTAATTCTATTCGGGCCGGCAAAAATAAAACTTTGTGTCAAAACGATATTTGCGCTTAAGTGAATATAACGAACCCAATGGGATTTGGAACTCGGTTCTCAATTACGGCCATTATCTATTACACCACCCGCACATCCAAGCATACAGAACCTGGTATTCCCAATCGGTCACCAATCTAGATACTGACCAGGCTTGACGTTGCTTAACGTTGGTACAAGTGTTTCTATGTGATTTGCCCGTAAGCCTGTGTTTGTTCAATAAATTCTATTCCACACACACACACACACACACACACACACACACACACACACACACAGAGATATATATATATATATATATATATATATATATATATATATATATATATATATATAATTATTAGAAGGAATAAGGTCAAGGCAACGTTCTACGTACGAGTACAAGTGGGCAGATCGGTGCAAGCGGTCATCATGAGCCTTTCAAGCCCTGGTTTGCCGCATCTGATGGTATCTGCTGAGGTGTTGTGTGCCATGAAGTGGTGACCCATGGACCGCTTCAAACAATTCACAGAAAAGGCTTTCATGCTCAAAGACTTTTCTTGTCCTCACGTCTAAAGAGCCAGTTAGAGAAAACAAGTCCATGAAAAAAAAAAACAACATCTTTGGAAAACATCAGAGGACAAATGGAAGAAACGAAGAGAATCCAAGAAAAGCAATAAATCTCCATCTTCTGAACCCTTCTACCTCTACTATGCGTTGGCTGTGGACGTCTCTTCAGATCTAACATAGGACTCGTTTCACACTGAAGGAAATGCCGATGAGGAACCCAATACTCAGCAACAAGTTCCGCCAACGATTAGATGAAATGAAAGTTTTAAAGTATTTGCTTAATCAATCCTACTAATTGTGTCATGGGATTATATAAACAGGTAAGTTTAACATTTATTTTCACTACATTTGCATGGCGGGCTGTTCCATTAGCTGACAACAATACCTACTTCCAATTGAAGTTTAGTTCTTTCTTCTTGCTTTGTTTGATTACCGTCTTTAGGAATTCCTGTAGTTTATATGTTAACTGCTTATCTTAAGCTGTTAAAATTGTGACCGTCAATAATGAATCCTGGCAGCACTTCTAATTCTCTCAGAATTGCCTTACTGTATAGGTTGAATAAGTCCAGTGAGAAGATACATCCTTGTCTTATACCCAATTCTATTGTCTTTTATTTATCGAATTCATTGTCTGTCTCTCTACAGGCGGTTTGCTCCGAGTATAGCTCCTGGATTATTGTAATATATTTTTTAAATAGTTCAAGCTTACATGACTTTTTCCAAAAGAAGATGAACCTTTTGTAGATTTCTCAGTGCTTACTCTCGATTCTTTGTTATAATTCCAGTCGTACGGTACCAAAACCAGAGGAATGACTTCACCAACCACCACGCAGTACAGATAGGTCATGCTTCTTTTTTCATCTCTGTGTTGCTTGGACATATATTGTTTCCATTCATGATGGATTTCATCATGAAGGGTAACTGTCATTTCCTCAGAAAAATATCACATAAACACTTTTTTAAAAATCATTTCACCATATGTACTGTATTGGTTGAATAAGTCTGGTGAGATGACCTATCCTTGTTTTACACTCTTTTCTATTTTTGTTTATTAACTGAATTCATTTTTTATTACTATGCAGGTGGTTTGCCTCAAGTATGAGATATTTGTTCATATCCGGAACATTCGCCATAAACATTTTTTGCCGTAGGAAAACTCGCCTCTGGTATTTTCGCAGTAGGAAACTTCGCCGTATATAATTTTTGCCGTAAGACAATTTCGTCGCATTTTTTCATATATTTCAATATTTAGGTATTTATAGTGAATTTAATCATCTTATGTTTGCAAATAATTGGTGTAAATTTCAAAAAACTTACTGAGAGTTTGATAGGGTTATCTTTCTTTGGACAGATATTTTATATTGAAGTTGTAAACTTGTTTGAAATAATATATATATATTGCTTGAGAATTATTGGCAGCTTGATATTATGTTAACAGACAGTTTAACGTTAAGTCTGAAATATGAAATTGCGTGACGTAGGTTCTGGTGTCAAGTTGAAATTTTTTGCGATCCTTACTGATGAGGATGAATGATGTAGGATTTTGATCCTATGACTTTGTTTATTAAAAAAGTTTAAATTGATGTAATAATAGCGTGAGCCAGATATTAGTTGCTAACAAGGTACTTCGCATATAAAAAATGCGGCGAAATTGTCATATGGCAGAATCCTGTACAGCAAAGTTTTCTACGGCGAAAATTCCTGAGGTGAGTTTTCCTACGGCAAAAAATGTTTGTGACGAATGTTCCTAGAACCGATAATTGTCGCTCCCAATATTAATATTTAATATCTAAAAAACAATTAAAATTAGTTTCCTTTTTCCAGGTTTTCAGGTAAGACATTTAGCCACCTTGACACCATTTACCGTAAGGATCACTGAAAAACCCTTTGAATTATCCTGCTAGCAAGAGAACAGGTTAAAATCATTTTGTGTCAGCCCCACCATGTCTTCCTAACTGAGCAATGGTGAGCCGAATAAAACATTTAGGCCTTCAGTAATGGTACCGACATTCATACTCTGGCTTCGATCTTCAAAGCCCATTCAAGAACCATCAAGAGAACGGTCAATAAGTTTAAAAAAGAGGAGACAGTAGAGAAGAAAACTGGAACAGTAGGTTACAAGAGGAAAAGGGATCATCATTTCACTTGAGAGCCAAAAAGATCAATTGGCAAAGATCCAACTCAATCCATAAGGTATTTGGCACGTGAGAGATGAGTTTCAGCTATGACAGTCCAAAGAGCCGTGAAAAAAGACTTGAAAATGAAATCGTACGTGAAACGTGTGAGGTACCTTGTTACTCCAAGAAGTTTAGAAAGTTAGAGAGGGCGAAGATCATCTTGAATAAGTTAGAAAATGATTCTGGAATATTATATATAGATTTGAATTTAATTTCAATCCTTCACGAGTTTCTGATCCTTAGCTATGTTTAATCAATGATGAACATGTCATTTTCGTTTATGATCGATTTCACCACGATTCTTCTGTTAAGCTTGGAGAGTAATTATACATTCTTATTGCTCAAAGTAGCATCCAATAATGTTATAAAAATCTCGGAGAATTCCAGTAAGATATCTTTAATCATTTCTATGATACGAAGGTTCAAAACTTAATCTAACAATTAGATAATTTTGCTGTTACACGATTTGGGCAATTTTGCTGTTATACCCGGTAAGTCCTGAATCATTCTAATATCGTTCCAAAATATATAAAATTTACCTAGCAGTTCAAATAGTTCTTTGCGACGTATGTTCATAAATCTATACTAAAGTTAACCAAATGGAACTCATAGGCTATCATATAAAGCTTTCTTTAATATCTATCTGAGATGAGGTATTGTGATTATTTATATTATTCGAACTGGTGTCCTCATCTTTGTTGCCATATTCACGACGTCTCGGCCGTTATACGCTCCGGCATTCCAGATGATTGGAATTTCGAAATGAACCCTTTATTTTATCCACCGGGGTATATTGTTCTAGTTCCACGTGCCATACCTCTTCCGGATGTCTCAGTATCAGTTATCTCTCTTTATCTCAACTTTCCAAGTTTTTGCTCACCGTAGCTGTAGCCAGGTATTGAACTATATAACTATTTGGGTCAAAGACACATGGCCCACTGGATAAAAGCGTTGGTTGAATCCAGTGGCTTGACCCAATGAGTTGTGAGCTCAATACCTTGTAAAAGCAGCAGTCAACAAAAAAAAAAAAGAAAAAGAAAAAGAAATGGTGAGTTGAGTTTAAAGGCAAAATAACTGATACGAAGATAACCGGAAGAGGCATGGCACGTGGAACTAAACCAATCTACCCCGGTGGAAAAAATAAATCGTTCAGTTCGGTATTCCAATCACCTGAAGAAGGCCGGAGCGTATAACGACTGAAACGTCGTGAATATGGCAACAAAGACGAGAACAACGGCCCGCACAATGTAAATAATGTAAATGTTTTCTTTATTTTACAGTTTTAAAATATCCAATTTCGGTTATAATTTCCATCCTGGTGGGTTTGTTTTCGTGAAAAAAAAAAGTTAAATTAATTGGTAACAAAATAATATTTTCAAAAAGCAAAACTCAAGTAGCGTTTGTCTGAAATTTCTTAAGCTGTTTAGTTGCATTAAAGGAAATATCATTGCTAATTTTTCCTGCAAGAAAAGCTTTTAAGACATAAATTCAATCATTAATGCAGTTGCATTAGCGTAAGATGCAGGTGCATCAGATGTTGAAAACGCTACCTATATGAGCAATCGAAAATATTTTTCAGACACCATTATCTACGTTTGTATACAAATAATTTTATATCCGAACCAAATATTTTACATTTCTTTTTTTAATACCAGAATTTTTGAGAAAATCCAATTGGCAGAAATATGCATTTAGATTAAGTTAGTGGAGTTAACAATATTTCAAACCAGGTTAGGTCATCTAGTATCAAAGTCAGTCTTTTGCTTTCTATATTTTTATTTTACACACACATATATATATATATATATATATATATATATATATATATATATAGATAGATAGATAGATAGATAGATAGATAAACCTAGTGAGCCAGCTTTCCCTGACGATCTGCTTAGGTGAAACCTGGGTAGGTTTGTCTGGCTCACTAGGTTTATCTAGGTCTGCTCTACGGTTGTATTGAGCTCTTTTGTTAGTTAGTTGTTTACTCGTGTCGGGGTTTTTCTTTGGGCTTTAAACCTGTATCTGTGCGATTTTTTCCGACAGACTTTCATATTTCTAGCTCTTTCTTTTTTTCCTTCGGGATTGATTTGATTATTGGCAAATCAAAAACTCGAGGCTTTTTCGAAACGAGTATAGTTACCTATATATATATATATATATATATATATATATATATATATATATATGCACCCTTGTGCAAATTAATTGAAACAAAACGAATAATTCCGTTATTATTTACATTTTTTTCATATTTTTTCAAATGAAACATGACCCAGTGCACATGTTAGTACTTCGTATGTGCATTCCACGAAGTCATTCCTTGTAGATTGACCACAGATTCTCGATTGGATTTAAATCAGGAGAGTTTCCGGGCCAGTCTATTGTACTTTGATTTGCTCACTAGCAAGGCTTGCCAGTGTGTTCGTGCAGTGTTACAATTTTCGTACGCTTTCTTGGAGCAACGTCCATCGCAGACAATGGCAGTAGGATAACTAATGGACAGTTGAGACAATAGTGCCTGCTCGTGGTAAAAATCTGATGCAATCACGGATGACGCAATATTTTTCAAGGACAAACAAATTTCATCAAACGCCCCGAAAATAGATTCATATTACTGCAGACCACAGCGAATGGCCCAATCTGAGGAAAAAATAGAAATCGATTCCACCCTGTCACTTCAGTGGGTCTGAAACTGACCGCATGGTGAAAGAAAGGAAACTAAAGCGGTTGTTTCAATTAATTTGCACAAGGTAGGTGTGCGTATGTATATATATATATATATATATATATAAAGGTAATAAATCTGTTGTTATAGTTATTTTCCAAGCATAGCTTAGATGTGGCACAAGACCGAAAGTATGGGGCATCTAGTGAGGATCGAACTCACTTTTCAGTTGTAACTGATCTAGCGAGACAAGCTTGCTAACCATTACACCACGCCGAGGTGGCCAAATCTGTTGTTATATAATCCAAGTGGATCCTAGTAATATAACAATGTTAGAACTGATTTACAAAAAGAGCTTGATGTATTTTATTTATACAGAACAATATTATTAATAATCAAACAAATTATTTTACCTCATATGGGCAACAAGTTATTTCAGCAGGCGACGAAATTTGTCTTTTCAACCCCAAAATAGCTTATTTCCCATATGAGGTAAAATGATTTGTTTGATTATGAGATATATATATATATATATATATATACACGTTTGAATAATATCGACATGTTCAGTCTATTCATTTTTTTATTTATCCCATGATTATCGTAGGGGCACCATGTGTACTGTCGCCAGAGTAGAAATGCTGTTTCTTGGACAAAACAGCCTGACGGAGCCCAATCCTCTCCAAGCCGGTTATGAATTCAGAGTTCTTCTTTCTCCTCGACAGGCAGCCATTCAAGGCTATAGAACTCAGTCTATCCTGCTATTTACGCATAGCTGGGGGTGGAAGAAGAGGATTCATATATATATATATATATTTTGTCTAGTTTGCTTACTCTTTGTCACCGACACCTGCTGTCCTAGTGGTATGTATGATGCTTGCGTTGTATCGTAACGGTCCGCGTTCGATTCTCGGTAGTGGATGCGCACTGCTGAGGAGTCTCAAAAAGAACGAAATGGCCATACAGTGCTTTTTGCATTCTGTTGAGGATTATTGTTCTAGACTTGATGAATTATCATAGGAAATTATTAAAATCTCAACAGATTTCTAACACTTATAAATGTTAATTTATTTTGTTTAAACGCTATTTTTTATGGATATTCATATTCGAGTGGAAGATCTGTTTTTTAATTGAACAGTATATTTATTCAACGATATCTACTGGCAGAATACTGTTCAATGAAAAAATACTGGTTAATTAAGAAACAGAACTTCTACTCGAATATGAGTATCTATAAAAAAATAGTAATTAAACAGGATAATTTAACAATATGTCGGATTTTATCCATTTCCTAAAAAATGATATATATATATATATATATATATATATATATATATATATAGATAGATAGATAGATAGATAGATAGATAGATAGATAGATAAAAAAATATAATTTTAAGGTATGAGTACAAGTACTGAATGTCAGGGATAGCGCGTATTTAAATCTAAATCTAAAAGTGGACACTGAGATCAACACCGAGCGGCGACCGTCGGTTTTATTCTTGAACGCAAATCTCCAGGCCATGCTAGAACGTAATCTTCATAGCCCGAATATCGAATTCTAGCAGACACACATATGCACGTGCGCGCACGCACACATATGTATGTATGCACATATATATATATATATATATATATATATATATATATATGATAGATAGATAGATAAATATATATAAATATTCTCAGATAGAGTGTATCTGTAGAAAAGACAAACATTGCCTTGATAAAATCACTCAGAGGACGAAGCGCGTCGGCTAAATATAGTTTTTCCTTTGTCTCTTTTTTTTTAATTAAGATATATATATATATATATATATATATATATATATATATATATATATATATATATATATATATGTGTGTGTGTGTTCGTTCAGAAGTTTGAAGCCACCCCAGAATTAGTATGGGATGAAGTTGACAGATGAGTAAAAAATGAAAAGAGCTCTTAGAGTCATTGAAAATAAAATGATATCAATTATGAAACTTATACTTTGAGAAACTTTTGCAACGAATGCCAAAAATGTGTGATAGATATTATTATAGATAGATAGATAGATAGATAGATAAGAAGGAAAGACTGATATATATATATATATATATATATATATATATATATATATATATATATATATAGATAGATAGATAGATAGATAGATAAGAAGGAAAATACTGAGATAGATAGATAGATAGATAGATAGATAGATAGATAGATAGATAAGAAGGAAAAGACTGGGATAGATATATATATAGATAGATAGATAGATAAGAAGGAAAATACTGAGATAGATAGATAGATAGATAGAAAAGAAGGAAAATACTGAGATAGATAGATAGATAGATAGATAGATAGATAGATAGATAGATAGATAGATAGATAGGAAGAAACAGACTGAGCTAGATATATAGATAAATGGATGAATGTCGAATTAAAGTTTGAGAATTAAGGAAAAAAGAATCTACTTTTGTCAAAGAATTTCATCGAAAGAAAGAATCGCGACCCACTAGGAACAATATACTGTGGACAAACAAAGAAATGAGACAAGTAAGGAAGAAGGAAATGGACAGTGAAAGAAAGAAAGATAGAATTACGAAAAAAAAAACTGTAAAATCTTAAAGGAATGAACCAACGAACGAAGGAAAAAGAATGAAATAAAACATATGAAAGAAATGGATCAGAAAATAAAATGGCGGAAAATGATAAATATTTAAAAAGGTTTGATTAAATTGAAGAAGAAAATAATGCATAAATGACTGAATATAGCAAAAGAATTAAAAAGAAAATAAAGGAAGGAAAAATAATGAATGAATAGAAGGTATAAGGAAAGAAACAGACAAATAAATAAGTAAATGAGATGAAAAAGAACTTCGGACTAAAAGGATGTAAAGGCTGGAACGAAATATAAAGACGGTTGCATACACCGGAGTAAAAAAAAAAACGAATATAATCCAAGTGATTTTGAAATGCCTTGTATCCAAGATCAATATAACATTTAATTATTTCTCGTTTGAAAAAAAAAATCCGGCTAAGAAACTTTTCCCAGACACAATCATGATGTTGAATAAGGTCAACAATATTCTGATCAGAAGCACTTGTCAACATCATTCAGTATTGAACAAGCTTGACTCACTAAAAGCATTCAAGTTCAAAATTGTCTCCTGCGACTTTGATCCAGATTGAAAAGAATCGTTATTGAATCATACAAAATCTAAATGTATTTAAAGTGAAAATGACGAATCAATGAGGTTTTTCTTTAGCATTTTTGTATTACCTGTTGTCTTTCTTGTCCAAACAATGTCTGTGACTTATTATTCTGACTTCTGCTCCAAGAATGGTGGTACACGTGACTTATAGAAGCAAAACTGAAATGAGCCACTACTGAATCAATCCAAGGACAATTTTAGTGCAGTTTTAGTATTATGGTCGATTCCTTACTCTTAGAATTGCAAAACGAACATACGAGACTTGTTGTTTGCTATATATATATATTTTGTTTTTTGTTCTTTTTGTTTTGCATTTATTTATCTATTTATTTATTGTCAGATAATACTTGGTCACATTGAATTTCTTTGATTCGGGGAGCGGTCCAGATTAACCCTATCACATAACATATCCGGGATTACTTCAACTTAATCCAGAAAAAATGGAGAATTATTGGGGCCAGCCTAATCCATATTTCCAGATATAAAATAGGTTAGTCTAAACTATACCATCTTTGGTCAATTTATAACCCTTCCCAGAATATACTCGGGTATAGTTTAGCGTAATTTAGAAAAAAACAAAACAAAACGAGATATGATTGGAGCTAGACATATTCATATCTCTGGATATAAAATAGCTTAATCTAAATTATACTAACTTTGGCCAGTTTATAACCATTCCCAGAATAGATCCGTGTATGGTATAATGTAATTACCCCCCCTCAAAAAAAAACTAAAAAGGAAAAAAAAAAACAAAAACGAAAAAAAAACACGGTATGATTGGGGATAGCCTAATTCATATCTCGGGGTATAAAACAGACCAGTTTATAACACTTCCCAGAATAAACCCGGGTATAGTTTAGCGTAATCCAGAAAAACAAAAAAAAAAAAAAAAAAAAACGAAAAAACAAAAACGAAATAACAAAAAAACAGGATATGATTGGATCTAGTCTAATTCATATCTCGAAGTATAAAATAGACTAGTCTAAACTATATCTATTTTGGCCAGTTTCTAGCCATTCCTAGAATATACCCGCGTGTATTTTAGCCTAATCTAGAACTCCCCAAAGTATAACTGATGTCAACGTAAACCATGTCTCAAGGTAAAACAATAACTTAATCTAAGCGATACTCTCTGTCAATATCTCTATTAATTCTACGTATGAACAACTACCAGATTATCATATGATGGCTCTAGTCTGCAAACTGGTATGAACTCTTTCACCAATAATTAGGTATACGTGTTTCTGAAAGAGAACATATTGTTCAATTAATACAGTTCTCGGATAAAAGTAAACAGATTGTTCTAGGTTAATACAAACTTGTTCATAACTCGTAAAAGCGTATATTTCTTGATTTTTGAATTGCTAGGTGGTGTGTAGATTGCACAACGTTGACCAATCAGGAAAATGACCACATTTGAATCATTTTGACCCAAAATCGATAGGCATCCAAATTTTAGGCCTTCTACTTGGTTGATAATGTGTGTGCGTTTGAGCGTCTAGTGGGAATTTTTATTTATGTCTAGTAGTGTTCGTATGTTGATTGGGGGATGTTTTGTGCGAGAATGAAATAATTTGAGTTGCACCGGTTGTGCTTGTAGATAGACAGATTTTAGATTCTTTAAATATGGATTTTATAAAGGTTGGTGAAATGATAAAGTGTTCAAAAACTCTTTGACGGCGGAATATGGCGTTCTCTATGCCCGAAGTGGCAATTGTTCTACATTTTCTCAGTCAAAATTAGTAAAGGTACACAGACAATATATGAATTCTGGACCTATATTAACGACACATAAAAACTGGCCGATGCCCAAATGATACAGGAAGTGGGGCTGCGGGCGAGTGATAAGGATAGTAAGCTGTCAACGAAGAAGAACGCTACATAACATCCAAATTGGGATTAATGTCCCTTATAGTGTACACTACATTCGGTGGGGTTTCGTGGACACCAGTCAACAAAGATGCCATTATTGGGCCTCAGTTGACCCAAAGAATATTATTGGACTGTGGAAGACTGGTGTTGCGCCAACGCGTCATTTACCCAGCATTGTCGATTTCACCTAGTTTGTTAGCAGAGATTGATTGTTTATTTAACGGCACATCAACTCCTTATGGGTCTTTTAATACATTTTTATAACAAATTGAAAAGGCAATAAAAAAAGTAAAATTACCAACAATAAATTTTATGATCTACAATATATATATATAAAATGCATACATTTACTCTGAAAGTATAAAACTATATAGAAAATATCTGTATTTTGAAATTTTAAAATTAAGTCCAAGTTATTTACATTCCGGCATTAATTTTAATACCGAAATTTAATTTTCTTGGGTGCTTTGAATTAATAAAAATATGATATATGTTATTCTGCTTTCACAATTGAATACATGGTAGATGATACTCAGCTTTTGTGTCTATACATGTTTGTATGGATATAATTACTAGAGACAGTAATATGTGTTTTATGTTGTAGCTTTATTGGAGTTATATTTTTGAATACAGTTTGATTTTTTTAAAGAAATTGTAGGATAATATATGGACTAATGTCAAGAAATAGTTCTTTCATATTCGTTGTTTGGTTGGCTGATTTTGTTTAGTGGCATATCAAGCTCTAGGGATTATTTAATGCTGAAATCAAATTATTTTGTACGTAATTTTATGCTTAAACGACAGATATTTTGTACATAAATTTATACTTTCAGAGTAAATGTATGCATTTTAGATATATATTTTGTAGATCATAAAATTTATTGTTGGGAATTTTACTAAAATTGTTGCCTTTTCATTTTGCTATAAAAAATGTATTGTTGGACATTTTATTATAAAAATGTACTGTTGATTTTTTTTTATTGGGGTTTCACATTTTTCCGATAGTTGGGACTTTAACCGTTGCTACCAGCCTGCGTCAGGTGGACCGGGGAACAACAGTAAATAAAAGGTAGTGTTAAGCTCCTGAAAACTACTAATCTCCATACACAGAGGCCTTTATCGTCATACCTACGACTATTGCTGATGACTACATACGAGGTATAGCCTATAAAAAAAATTGTGACGAGCCATATTACTCGCAGAAAATTAGGCGCGAGCCGCAAGGGTAGAATTTTAGAGTAGCTTCAAATTCTTCAATGTCACGTGTCCCTTCAGCGATCTTGACTTTCCACAAGTTCATGTCCTTGGGAGCGCTGAGTAAATGTTGTCTTTTCGTTATCTCTCCTGATTCTTGTTCTGCCAGACATTTACACAAACCTTGTTGGGGAGGATATGCACTGATTCCCTTTGTCACTCTTGCCTTTAATCTGTCCTGCGAGTGACAAATTTTCCAAGCCGTATTTCCTCATTATGTGTTGTAGCATACTTACGGACGATAACGGGTATGTCCCCATTCACATAAATACAGTAGTAAATACTGTATGTTGGTCTGCAGTTGGAGATTCGTCACCAGCTGTACTGGTCAAACTCCTGCCTCCAGACTGAGAAGATCCCCAGACGAGGCTATGTCGAAGGGCAGAGTCTCGTCTCAGGAAACAGCCACTCGGCCCCGTTTTATACGAGGTCTACGGGGAATTTTTGGCCGAGCCTACGGGTTCGGATATCCCACATTAAATTCGACCTTGTGCCAGATCTGAACGCGTGGGGCGGTTGGTAGATATCCTGCAGTTGGTGATTCATTGTGGAATTCACTTAACTCACTTCTAGCAGTTGACAAATTTCTTTTACGCGCTGCTGGCGAATCTTATATGTGTTGGTCTTGTCCTAAGCATTATCTTTCATTAGCCACCTTCATTTGATTATTCTATTCAGTAACGTTCCCTAGGTTACAACATTATGTATCCCAGAAATTTCAACCGTCACTTATGCTAAACATAAATGTCCTTTTTATTCCCATTTTCTCTAAAATTTTGTCGTTGTTCACAGCATTATTATCAGCATCATTCTGTAGACCCTTTCTGTTGTCTCAAGTCTATTCTCTATATGTAATGTGATTGTTCAGTATTTACGTATATAAGTATCTATATTACATAACAGTTAAGTACACTTTTCCTTGTTTTTAATAAGAGTTTCCTATTACTTTGCTTAGCTTTTGGAAGGTATCTTTCGCTACTGCAATGCGCCTTTAGATTTCTCTGGCGCACTTCCTAATTATTTAAATTGTTGTTCTTGTTAGCCACTCGCTTATTGGCTTCTTCCTTTTGCCGTCAACCGTCTGTAAATGTAATTGGCCCGTATGAGCTTCCATAAACCTTAAAGTGATAACGTTCTATTGGATTTGTTCATTGGTAAATGAGCCGTGAGGCTTTATTTACCAATCATGAAATTCAAACGAAGCATTAAGCGAATTTGTGCTACAAGACATAACTCATATGTAACGTCGACATTTCAACGTTATAAAAGAAATCTGTTCAATATCAGCGTATATTCCATGAAAATAAAAATAAAATTTTAAAGAATGTGTTTTTAGTTTCATGATTAATACTGAGATTTTAAGAAAAATGCAATCAAAAAGGACATTTTTGTTTAGGAATAGAAAGTGGCCATTGAGATTTTTCAACACGCAATGAGGAAAAACGGCTCGTAGAGTGACTTTTACAGGGCATACTGGAGACAAGACGGTCAGAACGAAGTTAAACCAACTAACAAATTATAAATACATGACCATGTGAGCAGGGAGGGAGAGTAAGGAGTTGTTGTATCTCGTGTTTTCAATGAAACAGAAGAAAATGAATAAGGAAAACAAACTCGTAGATAAGTAAGGAAATAGAAGGTTTACTACTCGACTTAACAATTGACTATCTATCTATCTATCTATCTATCTATCTATCTATCTCAGTCTGTTCCCATCTATCTGTCCTATCTATCTATCTATCTATCTATCTATCTATCTATCTCAGTCTGTTCCTATCTATCTATCTATCTATCTATCTATCTATCTATCTATCTATCTCAATCTTTTCCTATCTATCTATCTATCTAAGTCTTTTCCTATCTATCTATCTATCTAAGTCTTTTCCTATCTATCTATCTATCTATCTATCTATCTATCTATCTCAATCTTTTCCTATCTATCTATCTATCTATCTATCTATCTATCTATCTATCTATCTATCTTTTCTTTTTCCTATCTATCATCTATCTATCTATCTATCTATCTATCTATCTATCTATCTATCAGTCTATGATCAGTCATCACCTTTGGCATTCAGCCTCATAATTTGCTCGTACTTCCCTCGAGGAAGAGAAAATTTGTGAGTTTAAATTTTGAGTCAGTTCTATCATTCAGTCAGTTATGTGCCATGCGTGATACACACTTAGGCGATCAGGTATCTTTCGATACATGAAAAGAGGCAGGTTTTTTTTCGATACATGACGAGGCAGATTTTTTTCCCAATAGTGTGTTGTCACTTCTTTCCAGCTACCATCTAAGGCTAAAGAACCCGGTCTGCCCTGCTATTTACCCATAGCTGGGGGAAGAAGAAGAGGATTCATATCTTTCCCAAGGGTATTAGCACGTAAGTGAATGTAATGGGTTCGACTGGAATTCGAACTCGGCTATCCGATTCCTCAATACAAGCCGGTATCCATTACTCCACCTTATTACCACCAAAGCCTTATTATATTGCCTGTGTCCATTTTTTAACAAAACCAAATGCGTAATATCCGGCGGTTTGTCATCCATCCATTTGTTTTTACCTACCCTGACGATAACTTAAGAAAGTCGAAAGCTCGGACTATATTACTTTTACTTTTTCTTCTGAAATGTAGTTTGGACGATTCTTGATGGAATTTGAAAAAGTTGATCAGTAAAATTAATCGACACAAAATGTCTGTTATCTTTAAAAAGATTTACCTTAAATAACATTTGCAGCCTCATATAATAGTTTGTGTATGTGGAATGTTCGTTCATATCCAGTATCGTATATATTATTTAGAAGCCAATAACAGTGTTGACTTACCGCTCTCAATGTGTATAAATCAATGGCTACCGTATTATCAAACTTGATTTATTCAATCATTTGTTTTGATTTGCTGATTTTGATGCGATAGAAAGAAATGGAATAGAAGCAATATTTCTAAATGGCCTATTCAAAATTTGATTGATTGCTTTTTATTTATTATTCTATCTGTTTTATTCAATGTTTTCGCACATCAATATGTAAGCGTGAATGACGTTTCCATGCCTGGAGCTTTGTTTGGACGCCATTTTTATTTATTTCATTATAGAATCATTTTCGCGGTTACAAATACATCGGCTGTATTTCGTTTAGGACGGAGAAGAAAGAGTAGCACAGTAAATGTCAGTCAGCACAAATCACTGGTGAAGCCTCAATTAACCTGACCTCGTCACTGAAAGAAAAGAGGACAAATATTGTTGCGACAGCGATAAATATAAATCTAGACAAAAAATGGCGGTTTTCATACAATATATATATATATATATATATATATATATATATATATATATATATATATATATGTATAAAAGTCATCATTATATAATGATTTACTGTTTTTAAAAACATTGTTTTCAAATTTACTTACATTGAAATGATACTAACATAGTAAGTTTCTGCTGCTTGTTTCAAGATATAATTGTCTGCGAGGGTCGCTAGCTATTCCCTGTTGTAGACACCTGCTTAGGCACATTTGTTCTTCAAAACCAACAAAACCTACCATCGGTTATTGTAGTGAACGAGATAATCAAGTACCCCGGAAAAAAGTTCGTGTTTTGTGTGCGATCTGCCGGGGAGGGATTGCCAAAAAGTCGTCAGCAAAACTCTTATAGCGACTTACCTCGTCAGCCCAAGCGACAGCGCGTCGCGTGTATTCTGTGACGAAAAAGAAACAAGTCCGTCGCAGGAGTCGCTATAAGAGTATATTAATATGCAAATTACGGAGCATCCTATCCCGGCTGTCGACTAATGGAAAAAATAGGTTCTGCCGATAAAAGCAGTTGGTGTTGTCGACTCGGGAAAAGAAAATTCAGGCAGTTTTGGCTACGGCGTTCGTGAGTTATTTTCCTGACGCGTTACAAGTGATTTTCTTTCTTTGTGTTGTGAAAGCCACAAATTTGCTTTGAGAACGCTTACTCTTCAGTTATGTTGAGCGGTTCTTAGTTAAAAATTCTGTAAGAAAGAGCATAAACTGGTGTGAGCAATCGTTGAGCGAAGTCAGTACACTGAAGCTCTCGGTCACGATGACTGGCAGAAACATCGCCCGTTTCTGAGCAGTTTTGTCTACCGATTTCTGTGACGAGACATGTGTCATGATTTCCAGTCGCTCCCCAACGGTATCTCACGCTTGGATTGTCTCCCCAGTAGACACACCTTGACACATCGACGATAATGAGATTTGAACCCAATGCTCATCGTCTAAATTTCCAGGTACTATCTACTCACCCACACGTATAAACAGAGGCACCTGTATGCTATCACTGTTATAATTATTATCGAAGACACAATAAAGCTTGAATGATTTTAAATCAACTTTTAAGTAGGACAGAAAAGAGGAAATGCGCAAAATACGGGTTACATGATCCTGTTAATGTTTAATATATGATAGATACGAACAGACTGATATATATATATATATATATATATATATATATATATATATATAGATAGATAGATAGATAGATAGAGAAAGACTAGATAGATAGATAGATAGATAGATAGAAACAGACTGATATATATATATATATATATATATATATATATATATATATATATATATATATATATATATATATAGATAGATAGATAGATAGATAGAAAAGACTGAGATAGATAGATAGATAGCAAACAGACTGATAGATAGATAGATAGAAACAGACTGATATATATATATATATATATATATATATATATAGATAGATAGATAGATAGATAGATAGATAGATAGATAGGAAAAGACTGAGATAGATAGATAGATAGATAGATAGATAGATAGAAACAGACTGATATATATATATATATATATATATATATATATATATATATATATAGATAGATAGATAGAAAAGACTGAGATAGATAGATAGATAGCAACAGACTGATAGATAGATAGATAGAAACAGACTGATATATATATATATATATATATATATATATATATATATATATAGAGAGAGAGAGAGAGAGATAGAGATAGATAGATAGATAGCAACTGACTGATAGATAGATAGATAGAAACAGAGTGATATATATATATATATATATATATATATATATATATATATATATATATATATATATGTATTTAAGCGTTTCACCCCAAGCAAGGCGAGAATCCACTAGGACGCAAGTGGTTACAGAAAATTTGGAGCAAGATCAGATAGGAGTGATAGAGGAAAGGATGAGGAGAAGGATAGTGGATAGATCAAGGCAACTGGAGATGTCGATTGACATTACATTTGAATAGTTGGAGTTTATAGCTCTCAGGGAAACTGGAATAGGGAAGGGAGTTCCACAGGCGAGAGGTGCGAGACACGAAGCTATTGGAGTAGAAGAGACGGCTACATTTAGGAGTTTCGACAGTGAAAGGGTGAGAGCGGGATGCCAGCCTCGAAGGGCGCTTGAACTCATAAAGTCTGGGAACCAGCGAATGCAGCTCCTCGGAGCAATTGCCATGAAAGTATTTGTAAAAAAGACAGAGGGAGGCGACGGCGCGTCTGTGAGGAAAAGACTGAGATAGATAGATAGGAACAGACTAAGATAGATAAATTGATAGATAGGAACAGACTAAGATAGATAGATAGATAGATAGATAGATAGATAGATAGATAGATAGATAAGATAATGAAATGAGATAGATAGATAGATAGATAGATAGATAGATAGATAGATAAGGAAATGACTGAGATAGATAGATAGATAGATAGATAGATAGATAGATAGATAGATAGATAGATAGATAAGGAAATGACTGAGATAGATAGATAGATAGATAGATAGATAGATAGATAGATAGGAACAGACTGACATAGATAGATAGATATGATCAGTCTCATAAAGAGATAGAGAGCGTAAGAATAATGTCAAGGATTTTTTTCTTTGTTCGTTATACGTGACCTCATTACTGGAGCAAATTAATTAAAAATGAAAACAAAGTTATCATCGTATATCGTTAGTTTCTAGATTACTTCAATGTCTACCTTTTCTAAAAATTTCTTCACACCATCGAGGCGGATGAAAACAATCCCAAGATCCTTTTGGCAGATTAATCAATAATCGATTAATAACGAAAATTCGTGATTGATTGTTTCAATATTTTTTCACATTTTCATGTGAGTAAAAAGAGAAAGGTCTATATCTGAATAATAATGGCCAAAGCAAATGCGCCATTATTTTGTTTACAAAGATATTCGGTAAAAGTATATCTACCTACACCTGAAAAAAGCCAACTGCCAATATGTTTTTTATATCTAAATTCCATTGTTATTAAGAATTTCAAAGATGTAATTGATCACTCTAAGGTTTATAATAAATTATTATATTTTTTAAAATCAAATTTGCACTTATTACAAACCTCTCGTTTATTTTCTAGATAAAGTCTCAATTCGAAAAGATTGATTTGTTTTTACGCTTATCAACCCTTTGCAGGTTATTTAAAGCCAGTAAATATTTTTCGATTTTGAGAATGTGTGGAGATAATAATGATTATACTGATATAAGTCATACTAATTAACCCATATCTGATAGGGGAAGAGATGAAATCATATCTTTCCCAAGTTTATTCGCGTTTAAGTGAATACAACAAAATACTCGAGAATCTCCAATTTCGAGCCGTTATTCATTGCTTAACTTCGGTGAATTTTCTTAATCACCCCCCCCCCAAACAAGACGGTAATGTCACTCGTACGTAGGGGGTTACAGAGAGTGAAAGTGAAAGAGAATGTGAACACTGAGTATAGAGAGGATTGAAGAAATAACAAAAGATGAACGGGATTCAAGAATACAGATGACGATTGACGTTGCATTTAAATTAAAGACTGCAATTATCAGAGAAAGAAGGAGACGGAAATTTCGGGAAAATAAACTATTAAAGTAGAAGCGGCGGTTGCATTTAACTACTTACGGAGAAGACCTAGATGCCAATATAGTGGCACGTTTAAATTCGCGTAGTCAGAGCACCAGGGAGAAAAAAAAGATCGCCAGAGCAGTTGTTATGAAAATATTTGTAATAAAAATAGAGGTAAATCACGTCACGTCGTTGAGAAAGTGACTGAAGTCGAGATGTCAAGCTAGGATCGA